TTAATTACCTTAAGAATAAATTTTTAAATTAATTAATCCTGCACTAGACCCTTTAACCCTTTGCGACAGCATATTAAAATATATTTATTTAAAAAATGCCTTGAAAAGTCATAGGACTACTTAAGTGCGTTTAAGGCTTGAAAAATTCTGCGCTTTATTTTTACAGTGAAGGTTGGGATACCGTTGTCCCCATCAACGACACATGCATTGGTTATCATGGGAAAAAATCTATGTAAAAAACCCAAAACGAGTGCATTCTAAAATATTATAATAAACACACTAAAATGCATTTGTATTATTGCAGAATCATGATTGTAAAAATTTGCATATAACTTTTGCATAATTATTAATATTTTTAAATTTAGGAACAAAGAAAATATTTTCTTGAATATTATTTAAGATTGCAATTTATACTCGCCAATGACTAATAAAATATTAAAATGGCACTTGATCAAAACATTTATATACGATTAAATGAAAAAGTCATTTTTTCCTGCAACTTTGAAAACATGTTTTTCATTTTTTGTAGCATAGAGGCACTTCCAATTTTCACACACCCAAATGTTCGTCGTTCTTCTTTCGATATGCTGCAATATGCACCTCTTCTCTGCTCGTTCTATTGGCGTTATTACATTTTTTAGTCTTTTCGGTTGTACGAAAGAGTTTTAGTTTTATTTGAACTGGGGATTTCAGTTTTTTCAGCTGTTCTTCCTGCAATGCTATTAGACCTTTATAACTGAGAATAAAAATCTCATTGTTTTACATCATGATCAGTTTCTCGAACAAACTTAAAAAATAATAAATGCGTTTAATATACTCGCATCTAAAAGTAAATAAAAAAAAAATCATTGGGTTGCCACCATTTCTTGCTTTTGCGGTCTATTTCATATATTCTTTTGTAAGGATCTTAAGTTTACTAACGTTTATTTTATTTTAATCTTTACTATCACTCTTAGTTCTACTTCCGGCCAGAATTATAAGCGTAAGGATTTTCTGCAAAGTTCTGGCGAACGCCAAGTATTTCATGTGGCCTTTTTGCCAACGAAATAGCGAAGCCGAGTTCGAAGCCGGGCGCTTACCTTAGAAGTTACGCAGTGTTGCTATTGCCTTCCAGCCAGAGGTTTTAATCCTCTTAATAAATTAAAAGTATTGTAGTGTTCAGTCTCTGTGCTATACGCTTTCCTGTTATTTAAGGCCAATCTTCCACGTTTTATTCTAAAGTTAAATTAGAGTTTAGTTTTATTTTTATATTTTACGTTAGACCCCGAGTGGAGGTCTTGTATCCGAGTACGGAAGTCATTGTATATAAAGAAAAAAAAAGGTTTTGATACCCTTCGTCTGTATCTGTTACTTACTACAATTGTGAACATAGCTGTAGTAAGCTCTCTGTTTCTAGTCAGGTCATTTTATGTTTCCAAGAAGGTTAGAAGAAACATTGAACCTGATACTTTCAGTGATCATCAGTCGACATATCCCATTCTTAATATATGACATAATCTGTTTGGGCACAGTACTTTTTTTTTTTTTTTTCTTTCCTCTAGTTCTTTCTATTATTTTTTCATTTCAGTTCCTTTTCCAAGCAAGACAGGAATAGAAACGGATCTTATCCTTCCATTTCATGCAATAATGAATCATCGCTAATGAAAAGTCTATTATTCTCTTGACTAATTTGTCTTTTAAATTTTTGGTAGTACTTCCGATCCATATGTACAGTGCAATGCATAATGAGTCTATCTTTAAATCGCAACACTTAAAATACTTCTTTTCTTCTTCAGCAATCTTCACCTCATTATTCTTTCTGATTCATTTCATCTGATCGAAACTGACACTGAAGCATTGAGGCAATCGGATGGCAATGCAGCAAAAGATCCAAAGCTTCTGATTTTAATTTTTTTCTAGACGTTTTAGCACTCATAGCATACAACTGATGTAAAAGCGAGCGCAATCACGAAAAAAAAAGATGCAAAAAAAAGAAAAATAATCGTGAGTGCTGCCATCTAGTAGCGGAATTCAAGTGTTGTGGACAAATTTTACCCCCTTATTCAACTGCAAATTATGTTAGAAAAATGAATCCAATTAAGATTTTGAAATAAAATACCTTTGAATCTTAAAAAAACATACATATCATAAATTTATACAAAATTTTTAAATAGTGAAAAATGATAGGATATCAATCACTTTGTGATCCTATTTTGTATTTTTTTGCTTATAAATAAGCCTGTAAGTATAACATCTACTGAGAAAATAATAACTAAAATAATATTTTTAAAGATTAGAAATTTCTAACGGAAATTGCTAACTGAGAAAAGAAATATTATTAGGTGGGACATATTGACCCACCATCCGCAAAGGGTTAAGAAGGGAACAAGATTGCTTAGAGCTGATAACAACCCTTACGGTTCAAAGCGTAGATTGCCCGATTACGGGACAAAGAGAGAGTGATCGATAGAATCGAAAATCAGCTAATTCCTCAGGCAGGGAAGAGGATCGAACGAGTGTATTAAACCTTCGCGGCGCCTGGCTCCATAGCAACGCCTTGGTACAAGGAAGAGCATTATAGCGTTCTGCTAACAGCTCTGGGTCTCTTTTTTGATTTCCGGATGATAAGCAGGGGGCTGTGGAGTACGAGTTTCCGATCAAGGATCTTTTGGAAAAAGTTTAGCCGAAAGTCCGCTGTATAAAGCGATTTTGGGAATTTTGGCTGCATTAGGAAGTCCGTTCGTAACAAACCAAGGAGCTTTAAAATTTGACCGTAGCATAATGTTCTGAAAAATTGGATATGTTTCCGTTATTAATTGCTGCGCGTCCATACGGGAATGTCGGATACATTCTCAACTATTTATATGTCAGAATTGGCCTTATCATGATTTATAGAGAAAATCCTGTTTTCGATGGACAGTTGCTATTCTCGCAAAAAAAGGCAGTATGGGGGTTACACCTTCGCATTGAAATGTTTTTTAATGTGAGGTTGCCAATTAATTTTGAACATAATCACTCCTAGACTAATGTAGGACCCAGGGAATTAGCTCTCCGAAGAACTGCAATAGGTAAATTGGGAAATTACTTCGATAAATAAAGTGGCAGCTCATTAGACTAATTTTGATCTTTCCACACATCCGAGCCAAGCTTAGCTTGAAAATAATCTGCATTGCAGAATTACCGTGGATGTGTTGAAATGTTGGTCATATGGCTTGCGTCCGATAAGCTAGATCGACATAGGTGACTTAGGTATGTCATTTATATAGATGTTGAACATCTGAGGTCGAGCAAACTCCTTGTGGACCCCAGCACAGATAGGCGGGTTGAGTATCATGGCGAATCGCCCCGAAAGGATTACGAAAGGCATATATCACCCAGACCCTACCTCAAAATGCAAATTAATACTTGAATCATAAAAATTTATGACATAATGCATCTAAATCAAACATTTGGGGGGATTATTGGATAGCATAGACGAAGATACAAATTCTGGCTGGAAAATCGCTAATGCTATGCGAAAGGAAAGGACGAATCAATCGCACGTAAATTCAGGGGTCGACCAACTTGAAGCGGATATTCGAAGTTCGCGATAACGAGAAGAGAGTTCGGCCAACCTAGACGACACACAATAGATAAGATAAACTTATAGCATCCCGTTCGACAGAGTGGCAGACGGGCCTATCATTTTGTAAAGCTTATGATTTCCTATTTGAAGAGAAGAACGTTCAAATTGGGTAGTGATACTCTGTCGCGAAAGTAATTCAAGTGGGGTCCCGCAAGTCTCAGTAGATCGCCAAAACTTTTTAATTTCTATAAATGACTTACCAATCTTTGGGATCTAAACACAAAATATCAGATGACAACAGTATCTTGTCGCAATCCAGAACCCGCAGTTAGCTCTTAACAACCTACAACCCACGTAACTTGTGCCGCCTGGTGTCAGCTCTGAATAAAATTAATTTAAAATCAATGTACAATATTGTACTTTCATCGCTAAGAAAATGGGAAGAAATGTGGTAATGGAATTTCACCCTCTTCATATATTCAGAGCCGCACAAATTGCCTTAAACCATGTATGACACACAGCAATACTTATATTCCCCTATAATCTAATGTGGTAGTTTACGGAGGCTGACGCCTGGTGTCTAACAGAGGTAAACAGGCATGTGTTCCAAACCCTCCTCTAACTACGGCAAAAGCTTCCTGGAACCACACGAGGCTGCACCAGGAGATTATTGAGGTTGTCAAAGGGAAGTACATGGCCTTACAAGGGCATTAGTAGGATTGTATTACAGTTTGAAGAGGAAAGCTGTGGTGTTACAGATAGTAGGTAGTTAAACTAAAAATACTTGGATAATAAGACGTACGCATTTAAAAAAAAAAAAAAAAAAAAAAAAAAAAACATAAAAATGCATAGGCAACAATACACAAAGCACAATGCGTAAAATGCATAAACAGAGAGCACAAAAAAACAGGTACATACACATAGTCACTTAAGGCACAAAAAGATAAATGGAGTACATGAAGTCACATGAAAGCTGGAGCACAATGTTAGTGTAAGGCAGTTCTGTTGGATATAAATACAAGTACATCTTGAATGATGAATGATGAGTTCATGAATACTCATGTGTGCAGAAGAAGAGTGCGGTTAGATTGCTAAGGCGTTGATTATTGTAGCATCGCTAAGAACATAGATAAAAACACTGATAAAAGGCACGAGGATGTTGTAGCACTAATTATTGGGCAGTGCCCCAGCAATGTGTGCACCGTGAGGCACACAAGCGTTCACTAACACTGCGTAAGAAGATGTTGTTCACATGCTGTTGAAGGGATTACACACGTATCATTATGGAGGCATAACACATCTCTCTAAGGAGATGCCACATATTTGCGAATTGTTAGTATTGCCACTTTAGATTGTGGGCAGGGGAGCTTAAACACACAGTTGTGGTGAAGCCCAGATATTGTAAAATTCACTGGACTAGTCTTAGAGCTTATCGTCAGTACACCATAGCGTCATTTTAGCACGGTAGGCAAAGGTCTGTGCCCAATGCCGCGATGGTATTCATGATGCTGGAGATTGAATTAACCGCTCCTTTATGCGTTATAAGGAACCGGTGATAGGCGTTCCTATTATTTGTAGGTAGCGGAAGATGGTGTGCAGCCGTCAAAGGACATTCAAATACGTAATGGTCTGGTGACCCTTCTGATCCACAGACACAGATATCTGTATTTGAGATGCCGTGGCGATTGTAATAGCTGGGAAACGGGCCGTGACCCGTGATGAAGTAGGTGAGAGGTGCTACGGCAAAGAGTCGATCGGCGGAAACTTTCGGGAGGTAGGTGAAAGTCCGTCTGCCTGTCTCGCATTCGGTCCACTCACGTTGCCATTGGTGCATTCCTTGCTCTCGTAGGAGGCCCTTTAGATAAGAGCAGGGCGCAGGTACGGTGATGGGTTGGGCTGTCGGGTTGGAAATTGCATCTTTGGCCAACGTGTCAGCAGCCTCGTTGCCCTCATTATTCGCATGGGCTTTAACCCAGACTAGATTGAAATGGTAATGAGGGTGTTGCATAAGGAGATGTTGGAGACTGAGTATGAGAGGTGAGACATGATGATGGTTCTCAAGTGCAAGTAAAGTTGAAAGGCTATCGGTATAGATATTTGCTCGTGGGATCTGGCAATCTATGAGATGTTGCACTGCTGCCGTAATTCCCAGTACTTCCGCCTGGAAGATGCTATTGTGAGTGCGAAGTTGTCCTTGCCAGTCGTGTACAGTTTTGCCATTCTCATAGTGCACAAAAGCACTGCCTACACCATTCTCCTGCTTTGAACCGTCTGTGTAGATCTGGTTCCCATTCCGTGGTGCGTGTGTCGAGGTGTGAGTCTGTTGCTTGTCAATTTTGATGTGGGTTCCACTTCCTCTGAGAGCTGGATGAGTATGGGTAGAAGTGGAGGGACGTTCGAACTGGACTGGACTGTAGCTGGTATTTGCGAAAGTTGCATCTTTGCGTAGGTGGATCAATTTAGTAAAAGTTGCCTCCATCTCTGCTTTTATATGGAGTGGTAATATGCCGGCTAGAACTGTTGCTGCACTGGTGGCGGTTGTGCGGTAGGCTTTGCTTAATTGCAGGGCGAAGGGGCGTTGTGTAGCGTTGTAAGTTGCCTGATCTTGCGAGTACCCATTGGCTGCGCCCAGATCACTGCAGCGTATAAAGCTATTTTTTCTACAACTGTGAGGTATAGCACTTTTTGGATGTGGGGGTTTTGGCCCCAGTTGCGACCTTGAAATTGTCTTGCTATGCGGGCGATATTTGACGTCTTGTTTCTGGTTTCCATGATATGCGGAATCCAGGTGAGACCTTGGTCCCATACTACCCCTAAATACTTCAGATTCCGCGCAATTTTGATGTTTCGGCCTAGGAGTTTTATGCATGGACGACGAGTTGGATTGGTACCTCGTCTGGGAATTATTATTGCTGACGATTTTTCCTATGGAGATCGTGAGCTTTAATTTGTTGCATGCGGTGGTAAATAAGGTGCAGGTCTCTGTGCTGTTGCGTTCCAGTTCTTTCCTGGTGCGTCCTCTTACGAGCAGGGCTACGTCGTCTGCATAAGCAGTGATGTTTGTATGCTGTGGCCAGTTGGTTTCAAGGACTGAATTGAAGGTGAGGTTCCAGAGTGTCGGTCCCGCACAGGACCCCTGCGGACAACCTTTTTCTTGTACCTTGGATGTCGTACCGTCGTTATTTACAAGCTGAATATGGCGGTCGTGGAGGTAGCTGTTGAAGATGTTGAATAGGTTGGAGGGGCAGTGTGCTCCTCTGAGGGCCTGCTTAATTGCTGGCCACCAGAGGGTGTCGAATGCACTCTTTAGGTCTATAGAAATGAAGGCTGTGTGCATGTCGCTGTTTTTATTGCGTAGTATTGTGTATCCTGAATATTGTAAAGGGCATGTGTCGTGGAAAATCCTGTGCGGAATCCATACTGCCGGGGGCTGAGATGGTTAATTCTGTGCAGGTGGTGCTTGAGCCTGTTAACGAGGAGTTTTTCATAAATCTTGCCTAAAGCAGAGAGGAGGCAGATGGGCCGGTAAGAACTTGGGTCTTGTGGGTTCTTATTCTTTTTAAGAAAGAGAACGACATGTCCTCTTTTGAAGGCTGCTGGAAAGATTTGTTGGTGAAGAAGTTGATTGAAGTAGGTCTTAAAGAAGGAGGGGCGTGCTTTATAAGCTGTATGGATGATTGAATAATCTAAGCCGTCAGGTCCTGGCGTATTTTTTCCGAGGAAGGTGACGGAACAGCTGTTTGATTTCTTTATCGCTAAAGGGTACATCGGGAGGTGTCGCAGGAATGGTGGTGTTATTGCGAACCTTTCGTTGTTCTATCGTGTCCTCTTCTGGGTCATCGTTTGAGAAGACGGTGTCCAGAATGGTGGAAGCTGTGCTCTGCACGATGTTGGTGGTAGAATCCATGGTGGGTTGTGCGTGGATCTGGGCCGGGTTAAAAATCTTATTCGACGAGATTTTGTGTAGGATCCCGTAAGGATTGTTGTTGTTGGTACAGAAGGTGCGCCAGCTGGTGACTTTAGCCGTGATGATGTTCTTTTTGTATGCTGCACGCTCTTTACGGTATGTCATGAGTAGGTGTGTCTTTTCTTCTTCGTTAATAGTGGCGCGGAGACGTCGTCGAAGGGCTCTGCATTTTTGCCTTTGCTGCCTCAGCTCTCTTTGGTCCACCAGCTGACACCCTGTATTTTCTTGGCCACACGGATAGGAAGGTGATTTTTGCATGCTTCGTGTAAGCTTTCTATCAGATGATTCGTGTAGTGCTCCATGCCGTCCGGGCTGCTGAAGTTGTAAATGTACTTTTCTTCTTCTCTGAGTAAGCGAGTGAAGGTGTGGGTAATGGGACGAATCTTATTGCTTGGTAACTTAAAGCGTCGTAGGATAGTAATGGAGGTGTCGCAGTCTACTTGAAAATGGATGTACTTATGGTCTGAAGCACTTTCCTCGTCTAAGATGGTCCAGTTTTGGATGAAGGATGCTATGCTGCTTGTAGATATGGTGAGATCCGGCCAGCCCTTTTCCGTAGGTACTATCGTAGGATGGTGGCGCATTTGGTGCGTTCAATAGCTGCAGGTCTTGGATTGCTAGGAAGTCTTCGAGTTCTTTTCCTTTCATTGTGGTGTCTGCGTAACCCCATATGGAGTTATGCGCATTGAAATCACCACCTAGGAGGAGTGGTGTGAAAGGATACTTTTCCTTGGTTTCCTGTATGTTGACGATGGCGTTGCTGATGTCTTCCGTGGGGGAAGAGTAAACAGAGGCAGCGATGATTTGTATGTTGTTGTAAACGAGTAAAATGGCGATGTAGTCTCTTTTGAGTGTGATAACGAGAGGGGACCAAGAAGGATTGCAACAGGCGATAACTGCTCTGGGGGCTTGATCATTCGTACTACCTGCTTGTGATTGAAAAATTTTCCAGGCTGTTGGAAGGCTGGCTACACGACGATCTTTACAGTATGGTTCTTGTATGAGAAGGAGGTCCAGGTTGTGGGTGATGACATGCTGGACCAGTTGGGAGGCAGCTGCTTGAGCTCTTTGTAAATTGATCTGAGCACAGCGTATTGGTCCATTTGTCTTGGGAGTGTCTGTGATTGCTGTTGTGAGGATATCGTTGCTGAAATTCTGTAAATCATCCATAGGTGGTATTGCATTTAATTCTGCTGATGTACCGTCCATAAGTTGGGCAGGTGACATCGTAGGCTGGGTGGTTGCAGGGTGATTTGCTTTTTGTGCGGTAGTTGTAATCCGCACAGTTGATGCAAGTGGCCTTTTGGGATTTGCAATCTGTGATCTTGTGATTGCCTGAGCAGTATGAGCAATATGCTTTGTTTTTGCATCTGTCTTGGGTATGCCCAAACTCCTGGCAGCGGTAGCAACGACGGGTATTGAAATGTTCAGCGATGCGGTATGCCCGCCAGCCGAGATACAATCTTGATGATTGCATGATGGTGTGGAAAGCTGCGGGTTGGCATTCAACGATCCACTTGACGCCATTGCCCCTATCTTTTAACCTATAGAGGACTTTGGCGTTGCTTTTGGAGATCTTAAATTCTGAGATAATAGCTTGCTCTATTTCCTCCTGAGTGATATTAGGAGGGACGATGTGGATTGCTACCCGTGGGAGTCTAATGATTGGCAATCTCGTTTTAACGATTTCTCGACCCTGTGTACTTTGGAGTGCTTGGGTGAGCTTTTCGAGATCTTCTTTAGTGGCACAGTCGACTGCTAGTCCTTCCTCCTGGATGTTACGGACTGTCGCGATTTTGATGCCCAATGAGGGAAGTGGGAACTGTGCGCTCAGCTTCTCTTTGAGCTCCTTTCTGGTTGTTCTGGTGTCCTCTTTCGGATAAACAAGCAGAGTGTGCTTATAGGATTGTGAGGTCGCTTGAGCGTATGTGCGCGTGATGTTGTAAGTAGGCAGAATAGGTGTGGCAATGGGTGGTGAGGTGGCTAACTAACTCCTGATCTGTGTTAACTTCCGCATCAGTTGTTGAAGGTACGGAGGACAGTCCTCTGAGGGCCAAATTTCGGAGAGCTTCCAGAGTTGTTGTTAATTGGTCTCTGAGATCAGCAGGTAACAGGAATCGTTTGTTCCTGATAGTTGTACCAATGTTTTTTGTTTTTGCTTCTTCAATAAGTGAGTTTCACTTTATCGGAGTAGTTATATTGCACTGATTCGATTAGTATAGCTGTGTCTAAGTTGCTATGGTGCACTGACGTGTCGGCTTCTGGCATGATACACTTGTGTGGTTGGAGCTATGTAACACTATGATCACTATGTGAAATGCCGAGGTCTGTAATAAATTTCTGATAAGTAACACAAGTACTGGAGTAAAATTCTAGGGGGACTGTAGATAGAGTATTAAATAAAAAGACCTCTTGGTATCTAACACAAAGAAAATTACTAGCACAGTAAGTCGCAGATAAGCGATGCTAACTAGATAACATTATTTACCATGCTAGAGGCATAATTGTGAATGCAAAACACAAATGTAATTAAAAAAAAAAGGATTACTATGACTATTAAAATCAAAGCAACATTGTAAACAGGTAAATTTAGCTAAACATCAGCAACAACACACAAAAAAAAAAAAAAAAAGATACTAAACAATTTGCTAATGCTGGCAATACTCTAGACTGGTAAAAAGTATAAAGCTTACTGAATATAATAAATTATATAAATTATAGCTTAAGTAGCTGCTGAATGGGGATAACTACTGAGGAATTGGAAAGCTACAGATGAGGTAGCAGGAGGAATGAAAAAATAATGAGCTTAATTAACTAAGTAGTTAAATATGTTAGTGGAAGTTGAGATAGAGGAGGAGGAAAGGGGAAGGGAGATTGGCGTAGAGTTGTTAGCGCATTCGAGGGATCAGAAATTAGAGAAATTGAGATTAGATAATGCAATAAATTAGAATTATATTAGCCGTATGCAGTAAGCTGGCGAATTATTGAAAGTGTTAGTGGGAGTTGAGATAGAGGAGGAGGAAAGGGTAAGGGAATTGATGTGAAATTCGTAAGGAGTTGTTAACGCATTAGAGGGATCAGAAATTAGAGAAGTAAAAAATATATAAATAAATAATATATATATATATAATATAATACAATAAATTAGAATTATATTAGCCGTAAATTATATAATACAATAAATTAGAATTATATTAGCCGTGTGCAGTAAGCTGGCAAATTATTGATTATACATTGCAGGAAATTAAGATTATATTAACATGTAAAACACAGTAAATGAGAATTATAATACAAAAATAATGCAGAAGATTAAAGTTATGTTAACCGAGGAGCAGAAAACTGGAAATCATAAAGAATATACAACGAAAAGAATAATAATAGTAAAAAAAAAAAAAAAAAATTTCAATTTCTAGAAAGCACAATAACTGAGCGTTATAATGAGATTATTACTCGGAAGGCACAGTATTTCAAAATTAAAATGATTATACAAGCAGAAAATTAAGATTAAAATTTCCGAGAAACATAATACTCAGTTAATATTCTACGTACTACGCGTTAAAAATGTTACTGAAAACAGTAAGCAGGAAATGTGAGAATCATTATTAAAAATTTAAAATATATATATACAGACAACAAGCAGTATGTTCAAAAATTAGCCATGGGGTGCTAGAAGAAAAGATCTAATAGTTGAGGAAATGCTGCGCTAGAATAAATCAGTCTTGTAACACTGATATAACGTTGAAGAAATATATATTGATGTGCACCAGGTAAAGAACTAAGTCTTGGAAGTAATCAGTAGCGCATGGGAAAATAGTTCTTGCAAAGTTCTTTAGATGGCAGTGCAGAGTTGACTTCCGTAATAGCTCCCAAGTGACCTTACAGGGTAAGGGAATGTAGAGGGGGCTGGACAGTGGACGTTGTACTTAGGCCAGTAGCAAACGCTCCACAGTGAGCGCATGCGCAGACTATATAGTAGCAGAGTGTCTCAGGGACCAACCCTGCGGTGTTATAAAGTGACGCCAACTGACAGAGTCGAAGAGGGTAGAAACGTGAATTAAAAACGATTAAAAAATCATTAAAAGTTTAATAAATATTGTTATAATTAGGCTATTGACATAAGTGATATACCAGATGATTGATAATAGGAAGGCCTACCTCCTTATTGTTAAATGAAGGCTGTAGCACCAGGGGTTCCGGAGTAATCCTTTGTAACGATTGAGTAAATGGCTAAAAAGTGATCTTCATTAAAAACTATATAAAATCACATACGCTCGGCACACACTCACAAAAATTGTACGAGAGGAGAGCGAAATGTATCCCCTATTCAACCGTATGACGATTGTGGATGGATTACTTCTAGATTTTACACA